GAATAGCCGGCCTTGCTATCCGAGCTGAAAAACCACAAAACTGACTGCAGAGTTAATGAGCAGAGCTCCTTACCACTTTCCAAAAACAACCCCATTTTAACCCTGTATTTTTGTTACCCCAAGTTTAACTGAAAATGAACACGGTTAAATTGAGTGATCATCATGGCATACACCAGTTTTAACCAAGAAACTGCATTTTAACCGAGCAGAAATTCATAGTGTGAGTGCCACCGATGATTCTGAATCAATTGTGATTCTGCCATCCAGGGAATCAGGTGTCCTTGTGATTGGTCTCTTCATAGGCGAAGGAAACATTTTCACCTGTATGCCTGTGTTTTCCCACTTTTTTTACTGGTGCACCGGGTGGGTGCTGCAGAAGGGTTTTAACCAGCATAGGAATTCGTCTTGTATCCTTTCAAGTGTAGTAATTTTCATTAAAAACAGAAATGTTGGAAATGAACATCATAGTCTTTACTTTCAGATTGCTATAAAATGATGGATTTTGTTGGTTTCAGTACAAAAAATCTGGGATTTCAAGTCAACTTCTCCTACTTTGATGTGGTTGTTCATTTCATAATGCTCTCACCATTACTGGTGACAAGCATCCCATGTTAGGGGGGCTATAATGAATAGAAATTCTTATAACTTACCTATTGCACATGTCCTCTTGCCAGTATGTGTCTTTAGAAGTTCCACTATGTCAGCTTTCTGTGTTGGTGAACAGCGGCACACAACCACCGCTGGGCACTGACAGGCTAACTCAATGAACTCGTGCTCATAGTACTTCAGACATACCTTATCAAAAATTATCAGCAGTTGATGAACTTATCATTTCAGCCACTTTTCATTGCAGTCATAGTTTAAATTTATAATCACACTGAGGTACATGTATAATACAGTAGGCATAATGTACCAGTTGGACGAAAAATCTTCGAAAGTCTACAGTACCAACACAGATGGCAACACACAGATGATCTACGAACACATTTATTGGCTGACAAATTCATCATGTTCATAAGAAGCAGCCTATTCATAAGCTCTGCCCTCGACAATAATGGTGATACAGTGGAACATCACTGTAACGAAAACGACAGCGTTCGCACAAAATGTGGGGTATAGCGGTTGTTCGGTATAGCCATTTTCAGTTAAGGACAAGGACACCCGTTCCAAATTCCAGCCCATATTCAAACACATGCTGGCCCACCCCCCCAAAATGTTTCGGTATGAGTGGGGCCAAAATCTACATGCAAAATGGGAAAAATAAAAAAGAATGGAAAAAACTTAATTTTAATTATGTTTATCCCACGTTTTTCTTGAGTTGTCGCTTCAAAACTGCATGTGACATGAAGGTACAATTACACTGGTTCCTGTTGGTAAAACTGCACTTAAACAAATAGGCCCCGCTGGGTACCTGTTTTGGTGGTTTTTAAAGCTTGAATCTGCCGGCTTTGTAGCGATTATCATGCAAGATTTTCTGCCCCGTCTAGAGTCTCCAGTATTGCATAGCATACACACATAAATGTACACGTAGAGTGCTGGGCAGTCAGTCTACATGGACGTGACACACGCATATTACATGTAATGCATGCTACCCACTAACAATGTAGACTGTGCCACTTGTTGGCTGTTCTGTCCCGAGTGCAATTTTCCCCAACAATGATTTATTTATCATCAGTTCTAAATATGCTTCTCATGCCTTAAACAAATCTGTAATATTCGGTTTAAGTGCACAGAACATTCAGGAGCCAAGGAGGATGCTCGGTATTTCTGAATGTTTGGTTTAGCAGTGTTTGTTATAGTGATGTTCCACTGTAGTTGTTCTTGGTCATAACTATCCCCTGTTTAATTCGTCAAAATGTAGCAATTTACTCTGGACCTTGAGCCTCAAGCAACTAAAGGTAGCATTTTCCTTTATTGATAAGAGAATAAAGTGAACATGTAATAGTGTAGTTTAAAATAAGTATGTTTAAAATTGGATATTGGTCTTATGATGATAAATGATGTTGCCTTTTGGTTCATCCATTTTTGGTTCCAGCAATGGAAAAACTGAAACAGCTATGAGAATTTGATTCGGATATGGTAATAGTACTTTTTTCAGAAGCGACATTCCAAGGGAGAAATATACTTTTCCTAAAACATTAAATGGGGCTGGTTTTCACAAATGAATTCTTACAGGCTAATGTTAAGGAATAACACACAAAGGTTCCTGTAAATACAGGGTAACCCCCCCACAAGGTATCACTTCTATTCTCCATTTAAAGTAAATGTCAGAAATTGGTGTTTTGGCTTTCAAATTAAAGCTTAGGATGTTATCTTTTCAAATGGAAGAATTCATTTAAATTAATGTGTTATGGAGATAATTTCAGTTACATAAGAAATACTACATTTGTGCATTTTAATTCTGTCTAATTAAAGAAAATAAACAAAAATCAAAATGATCATTTGGATCATTGTAAAGGCCTGAAAAATGAGGATTCTGACCTGAACAGAGATCTGTTATGTTAAAACCTCTTTTATATTGCACCAACAAATAGCATCCTGAAATGGTTCAAAGTGGTTAATTTTACAGAAGTAAATAATATCAGCACAATGTTAAAAACAGACTGATTTAATAACTGCTCAGGCTGAGCTGAAGTTGATTTCTCTGGAACTAACTCATTGAACTCTGAAACTGCACAATTAGTTAGAAACCATGGCCTTCTGAAATAAGCATAAATTTCTTCATGTCTAGAATGAGAGGCAGTTTGATGTAAGGAACCAGAACAATTGTGTAATAAGTTAGGATTTGAATTCAGTAACTGCATGTACTTACAAGATAACCTGTCCGAAACATCAAGTATCCTTCGGTTCTCTTCAGAACCAGACATACTCACAAAAAAGATATCCCTACATGTTGCTACCGCAAATCTTTTCCTTAATTTGCTACCTTCACCATGAAAAACTTCAAGATTCATCCAAGATAAACTGTATAAACTTCCACTGGACAGAACAAAAAAATGTGTTATTACCTTACTTAATATATCTTCGCATTGCATCATAAGATTTTAAAAAGAGATTTCAGTTTTGTAAAGTAGTAGCCAAAGTTTAATTTGATACCAAAATTAAAAATTTCTGACAATTACTTTAGGAGAAAATGTATGTTACTTTTGGGTTGTGTTTTTGTGGGAGGTGGGGTTACCCTATAATAGGTAATTAAAGTCAAGTACTCACATCTAAAGACTCTCCTGTGATGATCAGTGCACAGTCTGATTTCCTCCTGAATGAATTCAGCTCAAGATGTGCCTCAGATCGATTGCCAACCCTTTTGAAAATATGGATGTCCTGAGTGCGGGAAACCAGCTTAGCACTCTTTGCTATGCAAGTAGCTGTTTCCAACTTGTCACCAGTCAACATCCAGATCTATCAAAGTTGATATATATTTTCAGTGAGGTCTAGAGGAGGGGGAGGGGGGAGGTGGAGGAGGAGGAGGTGGCTGCCATAAATGAACTGAGAATTGAGGGTAGTCTCTCAAATTGAGGTGTGGAAAAGCAACATGGACCAAAAATTAGGAAATTTGTTTGACCTCCACTTCCACTGGAAAATGGGGAGGATAATCTCAGCCATCTTAAGTTGGTGTTTGCAGGTCTGGAGTGATTGATTACTGCTACACAAAATGAAATTCAAAAATAAAAACAATTCTAGACTCAGCCAAAAAGGTATTTCTTATTTGCGCATGTGTATTTAAAAATTTGCTGCTGGCCATATTTATGAAAGTGAGAAGTTATTGTAGTAATTGTAATGTGCAGTTGTGTGTATTTCTGTTCATGCCTTGACCATCAAAAATTTGCCATCCTATTTGACAGAGTACTCCACTATTTGATTAAATGGAAGGTCAAATATTCGGATATTCAACTCTGCAAAATGACACAACCTTTGCAGACTTGGGATTTGTTTCTTAAAAATCAGTTTCACCAGTATGAATGATCCAGGACTTGGTCTGGGAAGAAAGCATGAAGCTATTTAATTCTATTGACAATCAGAACATATTTTACTGAAGCACTTTCTCACTGAATACTGACCCTGTGACATTGGCTCATGCGGTCAAAGTTAGTGCTACAAGTAGATGCCAATGTTCGGTTCAGGTTCGGTTCAGAAATTTTTTGCCGAAGTTCAGTTCAGTTCAAGTTCGGACATGTACACACATGTATGTACATGTACAATGCACGTTGAGACATCAAAGAGCTCGCTATAAACATGCCGTTTATGGTACTTCCATGTATAAAATATGTTTATAGAAGCAATGAATCTCCTCTCTATCCCCATCCAAGAGCAACTTTGATTTCTAAACTGTTTCCTCAGAGTTTGTATAGAAGTTAAAATTCCACAGAAAGTTACCGTCAGAGGTTTAAAAGTTTCTGACCATGGTTTGCCAACCAAAAGTGGTTGTGTTTGGACCACGCTTGACTCAACAAAATGATTGTAGTAAAAGTGAAAAAAAAAAAAAAAAAAAAAGCAGGCTGAAAATGGGAGTTTCCTCCTTTACAGGATACAAAATCAAATTGGATTTCGAGCGAAGAGTGAGTTGATTATCTTTCACGAAACAGATTCTACTACCAAACTATCAAATTATGGCTTCTGATGTATTCACAGAAGAACCTTGGTATCAAGTCAGCATTCTTTCCCAAGATGGCACCCAAGATTTTCATCAGTCTTTTTTGAAGGAATGACTTTTGAGATTTGCGAACTTAGAGATTCCATTACAAAATTCCATTACAACGTATTCACACTACGACTTTGATCAAATATGATGAAACGAAAGGCAAAATAGGCCACTGTTGCCAACCAAATCTTGTCACATGCTGGAGCACCGCACCGGCCTGCCAGGCAAAATCAGTTTTCCCTCTGGAATAGCTTTCGATTGAGCACAAGTTCGACTGTGATCAGCATCCAATCAAAATTTGTTTAATCGGCTATCTATGACATCACTGGCCTGATATGGAACGTAAGGTCATGGCTATTGAAGATTGGTAAACATAATGCTAAACCTGAATATACATAAGCACAATTAGATGTAGTGAGGATTTAGAATTGTTGCACAGCGGAAATGCCGTACGTTGTGTTTTCTGGGTTTATTATTAGTGAATTCTCACTACTTGCTTTTTACAACCATCGCATGATGCGGGGCCATCGTAAGTTTACTGTACATGTACATTTGTAGTACGTGTGTACACACCATGCACATGTGCCGAGCGCTGGAGCA